CTCTCTCCATCTCTCTCTCTCTCTCTCTCTCTCTCTCTCTCTCTCTCTCTATCTATCTATCTTTCTCTATGTATATGTGTATATATATATATATATATATATATATATATATATATATATATATATAGGTCGCACTGTTACACATATATAACGCTGCTGTTGCTATTATTTTAAATGTAGTTTCTATATCAGTCATGACAATGTAATAATAATTACGATATTTTTAAATAAATATAATATGGACGATAAGGAAGATGAATGTGTGAGTACGTGTTTGTTTGTTGTTTGTTTGTTCGTTCGTTCGTTTGTTTTGAAAATGTATAAGTTTGGTTAGTTAGACAATGCGTGGACAACAAAACCTGAGTTGGTGGTCTTACTTTTTACATTAATTTAATTTCATACTTATATTACTTCATTCATTCATTCGTTCATTAAACCATCCATTCATCAATTCATTCATTCATCAATTCATTCATTTATCAATTCATTCATTCATTCATCAATTCATTCATTCATTCATCAATCCATTCATTCATCAATTCATTTATTCATCAATTCATTCATTCATTCATCAATTCATTTATTCATCAATTCATTCATTCATCAATTCATTCATTCATTCATCAATTCATTCATTCATCAATCCATTCATTCATCAATTCATTTATTCATCAATTCATTTATTCATCAATTCATTCATTCATTCATTCATCAATTCATTTATTCATCAATTCATTCATTCATTCATTCATTCATCAATTCATTTATTCATCAATTCATTTATTCATCAATTCATTCATTCATCAATTCATTTATTCATCAATTCATTCATTCATTCATTCATTCATTTAGTTATCTCATTGTGTTTCCCATTTAACTTTTTCTCTTTCTTTACCTAATCGTGGACATCTCATCTTGGTTTATGTACCTACGTTCGTAACTATTTTTTAAGTTTTTTAATAATAATAAATAAATAAATAAGGTTAATATAAATTATAACAGTTATAATAATAATTATAGTAATAATAATAAATTGATTTTTATTATTGTATTTTTTTTTTCTAAAAATTTTTCAAAGACCGAGTTGATAAATCCATTTTTGTTTGTTTGACGATTTACAACGCAAACCACAATAATAATAATAACGATACAAATAACAGTAATAATAATAATAATACCATCAATAACAACAATAATATTGACAGAAGAATAATAATTAGAGCATTTTTTATTGTTGGTTTGTAATAATGTAATTTAACCCAGACATTCATATTATTCTCCTAGCCATTACAGTCTTGCGTTGTTATTATTGTTATTATAAATATTTTTGTTATTATTATTGTTATTATATATATATAATATTTATAATATAATTATTTCTAGATTGGGCGTTCTTTTGATGAAAAAATATTTGTGTTTGATGTCGTCTTGTTTGTTCATTCGTTCGCTAGTTGCCTTTTGGAATATCGATAATTATCATTACGGTTTGAACTATAGCTAAATTTTTAGGTATTGAACTATAGCACTATTCTGGGTTCGTTCTACGTAGTCAGCCAGCGTTAATTATTCAGTTTTTCTACCGCTTGATGTAAAGAATGTGACGAGTGTGTGACGTCATTTCCGCCCTTGCTTCGAAGTAAAAGAATATTCTCTGTATCGATTTAAATGGAATGATGGTGATGTCACGGATATGATGATGACGTCAGGATGATCACGATGATGGTAGTGATTATGATTAGGATGATAATGGTGGTGCTGATGACGACGACGATGATGTCATAGAGAAGATGATGAGATTACATCGCACTTCGTCTAATCCGCTCATCTATGAATTTTATTCTATTCCATTTATTCATTCGTTTATTCATTCATTCATTTCTTCCCTCATTCATTCATTCCTTCGTTCATCGGTTCGTTTCTTTGCTTTTTACTTATATTATTATTTAATAAAACTAATGATGATGAAGAAATGACGGCAAGGATGATGATTGGGGAATACCAAAGTAATAATAATAATAACAAAATAATGATAAGAATAATAATAAAGGAATCATATTTTCAACATCTTTTTGATCGATTGTTGAATGCTAATGATGATTGCTATGATGGTGACAAAAAAGAATGATGGTGATGATGACGACGACGATGATGATGATGTCGATTAATATGATGATGACGACTAATACGATGATGATGATGACGACTAATACGATGATGATGATAAGAATGGATTATTTTAAGATGGTTTTATTTTCATTTTCTATCGTCTGATGTGTGTGTGTGTGTGTACGTGTGTATGTTTCATGTGTTTGTATATTGTGTGTTTATGTTTATAAGCGTGTGTGGGTTTGGGTGTGTGTGCGTGCATGTGTACGTATTTTTATGTATGTATGCCTGTATCTAAGAGAGAGGAAGAGAGAGAGAGAGAAAGAAAGAATAAGAAAGAGAGAAATAAAATGTGCGTGTGTGTGTGTGTTTCTGTGTATGCGTGTGTCTGTGTTTTTTTATTTGAATAAGATTCTAAGTACTCCTAATGTTAAATTGAAGGCAGTCAACTAAGTGTATGCATATGCATGTACACTGTTGCATTTTATACTGTTTATTTAGCTTATTTTTATTTTGATGTTGTTTTTTTTGTCGTTTTGCTCTTAGAGTTCTTCAAATATCACAATAGTGTGCCTTCCCAAAACGTTAAAAAATCAATATATGATACTTTATAACGTAACATTAAAACTGCAAACACGTAGTAGTCACATACAGCGAACCCCGTTTATAACGAAGTGGCGAAAACGCATTCAATTAAGCGCACATATACACAACCTACACTTTTATAACGAAATCAATGTGGTAAAATGACACACAATTCCTTATACAGCGTAGCCAAGCTCGCATTTGCAACAGTTATCAAACGCTTATAACGTAGAATTCATGTGAGGTTCGTTATAAACAACAACTTTACATTGTTTATATTGTAATAATGGCGTGAATATGAAAACTAAAATAGATTTTGTTTATACGTAGGCCTACATTAGTATATAAGTGTCTTTATTTCAATATCTAGAGAAAAATTATTTAGAGAAAAATTATCGCTACATCAACAACAAATTGATGAAGGCACAATCAACAGTGTAGCATTAATACGCCACCAGAAAAAACATCATCATCACCATCTTCTTCTTTATCATCATCATCAGCAACAACAACAGCATAAGCAACAGCAGTCGCGACATCATCGGCAACAGAAGCAGCAGCAGTCGCGACATCATCGGCAGCAGAGGCAGCAGTAGTGGCAACAATAAAATACTGATGAAGACTCATTGAATTTGCATAACTTTTATCATTATACGCCGGCAAAGGTAGACGGATGGATGGATAAGTGAATGAATGAATGAACGAACTAACGAACGAATGAATGAATGAATGGATGAATGGATTGATGAGAGAGTGAGTTGAGAATTTGAAAATTTAAAAAGTGAATGAATGAACAAACGAACGAGTGAATAAATTAATGTATATATTGAAGAAATGAATAAAAAGAAAAAACGAACACAGGATTGAAAAATGAATGAATGAAGGAATGAATGAATGAACAAAAATAAATAAAAACATCAAAAATTTCGGAAAATGCTAAGATAGATTGATGGCAAAAAGACTAATTGAAAGAAAATAGAGTAAATAAAGGACTAATTAATTAAACAACAAATACACGTGTATGTGTAGCGTGTGTGCGTGTGTGTGTGCGTGTTCGTGTTTGTTTGCCTAGAAGAATAAATGGAAAAATTTGATTGCCACGAAAAACAAACCAATGAGCGAATTAATGATAAATGGCGTTGATTACGTAATGTGGCATAGAATAATAAACAAATTAATTTATAAATTAATTAAGTGTTGACAAATTATGATTGATTTGTGTGTTGATGCATGTATGTGTGTGTTTGTATGTATGTTTACAAATATGCGCCATCATTAACATAGCATATTTGAACTCATCAAACTTTTTGTCCCAGAACTCATCGTGGCGCTTACCTTTAAAAATTTGGATCCTAAAATTTGGAGATCGTTCAACTCCGTTGTTTTAATTTTATTAGGAAAATTTGATGGGTGGGTGGAATTTGTTGTAATTTCACATTTATGTGTGTGTATGTATGTATGTATGTATGTATGTATGTATGTATGTATGTATGTATGTATGTATGTATGTATGTATGTATGTATGTATGTATGTATGTATGTATGTATGTATGTATGTATGTATGTATGTATGTATGTATGTATGTATGTATGTATGTATGTATGTATGTTATGTATGTATGTTTGTTTGTTTGTATTATATGTATGTATGTATGTATGTATGTATGTATGTATGTATTATATGTATGTATGTATCTATGTATTATATGTATGTATGTATGTATCTTGGCCCATATTCATTGACACGCATGGCTGAACACGATCGCAATATATAGTAGACTGCATCACAACCTTTTAATCAACTT